GCCATCTATGCACTCAACCCAACCACGGCATCCTGGCTTTGGAGGTGAGTTTGGGCCGCCGTATTTTTCCGCCTTGGCGCCCTTTGTATTCTCAACAGGCTCCTTCGAGATGAATCCCGCTCCATGGTCACCAACTGCAGGTTCTTTTCCATCTGGCTTTTCATTGCCATGTACTAAACCAAGGGCTGTCAGTGCCACCACAAAAGGCAGGGTCAGCTTCATGCCAGGTCAAGTGATGAACCCAGGAGTTCTTGGAATAGTCAGAAGCACCTTGAGCCAAACACACTTGAGTGTAGGTGCTCAGTCATTGACACTCTACTTGAACGTCCAAGTGCAAAGCCTGGACGCTTGGTGTGACTTTGTTGGAGCTTCAACACACATCGGTAGCTGGTAGTGCTGGTGCGATGCCAGCCAGGACTTCACTAGCACACAGTGTATGCGTTCAGTCTCAGCGCCACACCCCGCTGTTCGCATCACACGTTATTTGAACAGTGTAGGCCACAAGTCCTGAGATGCGACAGGTCTTCCCTTAGCGATGGCCTCCAACCTAGTATCCTTGCTCCTAGTAGCGATGCCCTTTGTTCCTAGCTTCTTGCTCCTAGTAGTAAGGCCAGGAGCAACTAGTAGCGTCCTTGCTCCTAATAGCAATGGCCTCCAACCTAAAAGAAAAAGAAAATCCCATGTTCCAAGCCTTGAGATGGTTCAGTTGTTAGAACACGAGCTGCCTTGGAACACATCTTGCACATCACACCAGCTGTTGCCATGATAGAAACGAAGCTACTTCTCAACACATTATGATTTCAGATCAAGTTCTCAGCGTTCGCAGCTGCTCCCTGTGCTGTTGCTTGACCGTCTCGCACTTGACCATCCTGTGCCTCTGCCTCAATCTCAGCCTCAGTTCTTCTGGAAGCAAAGACTTCAACAGTTGTTTGGCTATGCCGACTTCAAAAGTGCCCTGCAGATGAGGGCCGGAGCAGACTAGCTGGAGCTTTGCCATGAGCCTCTGCTAGTATATCCGACGAAGGTAAGCACCCCTTTAAGAAGGCCCATTAAAGCGGACCTTGGTGAAGGGGCCCTTACATTCTTTTTTCAACCTCGGTTTTATTGGATGCTTAGGCTAAGTATATATTATGTACATTATATACATAATCTAAAATAATCATAAATAGCAGTCTCATGCCTGGATCGAGAAGCGCAGCTGCCACTCCCCTGTTGCCAGCGCTGCAGGCGTGCCACGCGAAGCCTTGGGGATTGGAAACTCATTGAGGGGCCAAGCAAAAGCAAAAGCTTCCTCAGTCTTCAGCTTGGTTCCTTCTCTTTTTCTTGGACAGAATGCGCGGCTCATGGCAGCCTGGCTGGTCTGGAGACTTACACAAAAAAGCGACTATCAAATTCCATCCAGCCTTCGGGAGCAATGATTCCGTTCTTCCAAATGAAGAGCTTGCCGGTGTTTTGCTCCTTCGTTTGCACGCTTCCCTTGTGGGCAGCACTCTGGGCAATTGCTCTGGGCATCACTCCTCTTCAGGGGTGTCAAACTGTTGAGGATCATTGCTTTGCCTGCGGTGATGAGCAAGGGCAGCAAGGGCCCGTTTAGACTGACTGATTCAAGGATACCAAAGCTTGCCGTCGTATGTGCGTGCGTGTTGTTGCCTTGGAAAGTCCAAGAAAATCAGGCGATCAGCTTTCAAAGGCAAGTTGGGGACTCTGAACCACCTGGCTCGCGCATCCGGCCAACGAGAGCATCGATCCAACTGAAGAAAGACGTCTCAAATATCGTCCTCAGTCATAGAATGATGATCAACAAGTTCTGAAATCAGACCGTTCATTGCCATAGTACTGGGGTGGATTGGAATAGGGAACTCCTGGTGCGACGGTTTAGCAATGCTTAGCTTATGGGTGTGTATGTCTTGCATGCTGCCAGGCCGGGATGTTTGACTACGGGGGACGGTTCGGAGGTATGCTTCGCGCAGTGTGAAGACTATATAAAGCAGACGCGTTTTCAGAGGGTATGCTTTGGGCATGCTTTGGGGCGGTATGCTTCTCCTAAGTCTTACATCAAAATCAAAAGCTCTATATATATATATACACACTGGACGTATGATACAAATACAAACCCATATGGTTTAGATATAGGGTTCACTTCATGCTCTGTCTGGGTGCTTGTTTCATAGAGCTCTGGAGTCTGTTTCTCTTTCCAGAGTCACACAGAGTCTGAGAGCCTAAGCCCAAGGCAAGGTCAACGAGAAGCAGTTCAAACGTCCTCCAGCAGCGCTGCGAAGTTGCAACTCTTTCACCTCGAAGCCGAGAACTCGCAGTTTAAGGAGAGAGAGAGAGAGAAATATGAGATAAATAAAGAATATTGTTGTTTGTTTGCTACTAGTATTGCACTTGTGTAGCTTCTTGCTACTAGTTTGTTCTTTTGTTATCTTGCCTCTTAGAGAGGAAGCGGCCAGTGGAAAGATGGAAGTTTCGTAGCACGGATGGAGTATATACTCGGGTTCTTCAAGCAAACTTAGACCTTTCGTCACTTTCGCCGCCCTTCTCCTCTTTTTAGTTGGTTCTTTAAGGAAGCTTGAAACTCGGTTTGATTGCAATGCTACGCTCATGTTGCCCCTTACTACCCGCAATACCAGAACTGCCAGCTCAGCTGTCCCAGCCCCTTGATTCCCTTGATGACAGAACTGTGGCCAAGTGTTGAATTATTTGTATGTTCTTCATCTCAAATGATTCGTTGCAGTGATATATCATTTCCGTAATAACACCTGGCAAACGGAGCTCGCTTTCGTGAGAACAGGATGTAGCAAGAGCCCTTTTCAAAGCGAGAAAGCAAAGAAAGCTAGAAAAGCATCAAATATTTCTGAGGCTCAAACAACCAAGCCTTAGCAGCTTAGCAGCTTCAGCAAGCACAAGCCAACAACTTGGGCGCTCACTTTACTATCCGGCAAGTAGGGTCATTAAATCTGGCCTGCACCAGGCTCCAGCAGGCAAAAACTCTTCCCAGAGCTGTACAACTCTGGTACCTGAGAGCGAACTAAACTTGACTGGACATCAAACACAAACCGAACACAAACCCAACCTACGTCATGATTACGTCATGATCATATCATATCTTTCATACATGCGTGGAATTGTGTGCAGTAGACATGTGGACATCAACAAAACCCTTGCAGATCAATCACTGGGAGACAAGCAAGCTCCACAATTCCAAGGGCATAAGTCTCCTTGGGGAGTCGCGCTGCCTCAACAATGCATTCGAATCAACTATTCTGTGCGGCTAGTTCAGACTTGCAGTTGAAGCCTGAAAGTTGTACTCCGTCCACCCTTCACCGCTCTCTGGGTTTTGTCCAAGCTCTTCTTCGATCAGCACCTCTGGGATGTCCGCGTGTTTCAGCCGGCGGGACTTTATTGGCAGTATGCTCAAATATCCTCGCCAAGCCTCAATGCCTTCTTCTTCCTCTGCCTTCAATCTCTCTTCATCCGCCTCTGCCTAGCATTCTGGTTTTTCACAATCAAGTCTGTAGAACAGTCCGAAGCACTGTCTGCAATATTCGGCACTTCTCAAATGCCTTTCTTTGCTGTGCTTTTCGCAAGTGCACCTCCTGCTCCACCTGTGGAGAAGAGCCGGAGCATGTTTGGTATTATATGCTCTTGGCTACCTGACAGTACCACCTGAGTTACCTGGCCTTAGACTACCCCTGTCGCAACAAAAACAAAAAGGCTGTAAAAACAAAAAATAGAACCGTGCTTTCGGCTGCAAAGACCACCATGCCTCAGCTGCTGTGACGACATCGCTGGTTTGTCTTTTCCTCAGCGATCTGTGGCAAAACAGTGAGCAAAGGACAAAGAATATTGGATTCTTTATCAGTGTCAAAATGTGTTTCCTTTTGAGGCATGAGTATGTCCTGTTTTGCTTTGCCTATGTGGTGACAAAGAAACTACTGCAAGCTAAGGCAGGAGCAGGAGCTTCCTGAGTGAGAGAATAAGAAGCTTCATGCGATGCGAGGAGTGAAGCCAAGAGTTTGGAGCTAAGAGTTTGCCTAGTAGCGTCCTTTGCTCCTAGTAGCGATGCCCTTTGCTCCTAGTAGCGTCATTTGCTCTATTCTTGCGGCTAGGTTACTTCTGGCTGGAGATGTCTTGAACAGGCTGTACTCGTGGTTTCTTGGCAGGGCCAATGGATTCGGGTAGTGAGCTGTGTCCTGCCAAACAAATGGAAGCAAAAAAAAACAGCAAATGGAAGCGGGTCGAAGCCGGCTGGTAAATAGCGCAATGAAATGAAACTGATGAGAGAGGAAGGCAAGGTTGCTTGCTGTTGCCTGCTTTGTCTCAATCTAGCTTTGCTTAGGGGCACAGCAATGCAAGTTTGTTGACATAGCCGATTCAACAACATGAGCAATGGCCTGAGATGCCACTCGTCAGCAAATTGTTGACTTGCGTCTTTACAAATGCCAAAAACCTGAGTCAGCTACTGGCAAGCCATGCCGACTCGCATGCTCAACTGCTCCGACTCCCTACTCTTGTACAAATGCATTGTCATGACCTGCTTTGATTAGTTGTGTTTTTCCCCTTGGGATGTGGGGATATGTGCTGCCATCTTGTTAGTCTTGTGAGACCAACTCTTCTTGAGAGACCGCCACATGTAGCAGAGCAGCTCTTGATTGTCCACACAGTAGTCGCCATTCTCATCGATCGCTTCAACCTCACCATCTCTGCAGAAGGAGTAGAAAGAATCAGAAACAATATCAAGAAGCTAGTGGCTGAGGACCCAACCCAGTTTGCGACCTCTTCTGCCGTGAAGGCAAATCCCAAATCCTCGGGTACTCTCAATACTGTTCTCCAATAGCACAGCCTGAAGAGCTTCGGATTCTTGGCAAAGGACATGAAGAGCGCGACAAAACTCCATCGGCTCCAACAAACCAGAGTTGTCCACATCATACTTTTGGAAAGCAGCCTGCGAAATCCAAGAAGCCCACTGGGTTTAGTTTGAATGTACATTGTCATGCACTCCTATTGCAACTTCACATGCCATTATTCCTGGAGCAGTTTATCAAGTCATTGTTCTAATTAGACAATGAAAAAACATGAAATCCGCCCACACCGCTTGCGGTGCAGGGCGTGTTAGGGGCGGGTCAAGCTGGAATCATCGTCAGTCAATCATCACATCGTAATCAGTTCATAGCTCTGCTAGGGGGGTTTTTTTGGCTTCGCGGAAAAACGTCTTACGCCTCGAGGGCCATGGGGGAGAGCGTTTTGGAGGTACATTTTTGGACTATTTCTGCAAGAGCCCAAGCCAAAAAACGGACACCCACGATGCTGAAAAGCCCTCCTGACCAGCAACGCATAACCATTGGAGGTACATCTTTGGACTATTTCTGCAAGAACCCAAACAAGCCAAAAAACGGACACCCACGATGCTGAAAAACCCTCCTGACCAGCAACGCATAACCAGCATTATTGCAACAAAACAAACGTAGCCTCAACACAGGGTCACCAAACGATCAAGCTAGCCTTGACATGATGTAATGTGGACTAGCCAAGCGGGGGCAAGGCCACAAAACGGTCGAACTTGGAGCCTGAATTGGCTTTTAACATGGCCACCAAACGAGCGAACTTGTGCGTAACTCAGCCGCAACATGGCCATAGACGCTGCGGCAAACAAGCCATCTCTTTGGACACCACTCCCGACCTCCCCTGTCCACTCCAGCAGTCTTTCCCCAGACGACCGAAAAAAAAAGGTGTGGGCGGCGGTTGACGCGAAGCGTCAGGAATATCCTGAAATTCCAGCCTCAACAGACAAGCCCTGACCCTCAATGGCATCTCTGAGGCGAACAGCACGCAAGCGTGACAAAGTTTGATCGAACCTGAGCTCTGGTGATGTCTGATTGACAACGGGCGAGCTCTACAGAAAAGTGGTGTGCTTTTGGACTCTATGGGCATAGCTCAAGCCAGTTCTTCTGCAAGACCGCAGCAATTGGCTGTTCCTGGCTCGGCCATCAAAAACTTACTTCTTATTATCTCTTGGACGGGAGCACCTGCCAGTTGGCCAAGGCTCTTCGCCTACAGCTGCCCAAGCCTAGGCCAACTCCAAGCAGTTTTGCATCAATTGGTTCAAAGATTCATGTTTCATTCCACGCTTGTTTGACAACTTGGTTCGGTGTGTGTGTGTCACGATATATATATATATACATAATTATGTATGATGCATTGACTGTCGATTGTATATGTACACTTAACTAAACTATTACTAAATGTACATACAGTACACGTGTAGTCCTCCATATATATATATATAACTAATACAGTATACATTTCTTGAATTGGGATCCAGGCTCTCCAAGAAACGACGTCGTCCGAAGGGCTGGTCATGCTGGAGTGCCTTGGAACATCAACCTGGGGACAGCCTCCAACCTACTAGCGATGGCCTCCAACCTAATAGCGATGGTATCCAACCTACTGGCAATTTCCTCCAACCTGGGGACGGCCTCAAGACCTGAAACTTCAGTCTCCCCACTGAAACAAGAACTGAGATCTCGGCACGAAGGAGCACCGAAAGCTCGGGTTCCCGGTAGAAGGTTTGACAATCCAAGAAACGCGCCACTTGCTGCCTCAGGACAGTGGCGACATGCTTCCCTATTGTTTGGACCTCACGAGCTTCCCACATTGTTGCGGTTTGAAATCTTGGCCCGGCTGCAAAGCCCAAAGACCTAGGGCGGCAGCTTGACAAAACTCTCAGGCAGCTTGACTCAGGCAGCTTGACAAGTCAGCTCACATGCATGATTTAAATGCTGCGCATCACGCGCATCAGAGCCAGGCTCATCGAACATCATGTGGTTGGACATAACGCATCGCCTTGTTCATAAAATCTCAAGAATCAAGAATGCTCCGTAACTTAGAGAAGTTATCCTGGAAGTCAGGCACCGTGTGTCGATCGTTGCAATTTCTTCATCCCTATGACAGTTCACATTGGTGCACACCGTTTCTTGTTGCTGCGCTGAAAAACCAAGGCACAGTGATACTCACAGTGTCTTCTCTGCAACTTTTAAGTTCCTGAGGCACCCTCAATGCAACACTCGTTTCTGGATGCTGTGCCAACAAGGGCTTGCCAACTCCTTGGCTCTCTTGCCCCGCTTTCAACCCCACCATGCCCACACCCTCAACAACACACCACTCCAGAGCAAAAAGGGCAAAAGAACACCAAAGATTGAGCTCCAAAAGAACACCAGTGAGTATGAAATGCATTGAAATGTAGCAACCAGCTGCTCTAGTAGAGCTGGCACCAAGGTTGCCGCTGCAATGCATGATGCGCCGGAGTGTTTCAGCCTCAGTAGAGCTTGGAAGAGCAGAATGCAAATGAATGAATATTTTTTTGTAGAAGCTGAGCATTGCTGAGTCACACGCTTCTGCCAGTGAGAGAACAATGAAACCACGCCCTTCGTCACGGGGTCGAAAGTATGCAGCTCCTCTGTGCTGTCTGCGCTGCACTGGAGCGGCCACGCAAAGAAAAAACCATGTCTACTAAGACTTTAGGCCCTAGCGAAGCAAGCGACAAGCATCAACGTAGCCAAGACCTCACGTTATTCAGCAGGCCATAAGCGCACTAAGTGCAATGAGTCTCAGGTCAACGCTGGATTCTGTATCCGCCCCAGCCTTTGCTGAAGCAGCCTCCGCCTGCGGATCGGATACAAATGAAGCAGCGAAACAAGTTGCTAGACTCAAACAACACATTCTGGGTGTGATGCGCCTCCGCATCTCCTGTGCTCTGTAGCACTGCCATTGCAGCTGACACAGAATGAAAAGCTGTGTCCTCAAGCCGCTAACGGAAACAATGAACTCATTGTGTCACGGCTTCTGATCAACTACAGCCAATCAAACTTGCACAGGTGAGGCAGGGACCCAGTCAAATGAGGCCTTAATGATGGTAGGCACAAGGACGAGCTACACTCTAGCAGCTAGATAGCATGTTTGGGTGAACCACAACTACTAGTGACGCCTGCAAAAGCCTGAGGATCTCCATGTGAGCGATCGCACCTTCTGGCCTGGAGGACGTCAAAACATAGGGCCAAGCAATGCAAAGCACGGCAAAGTGATGAAGTCTACCGCGGGTTGGCAGCTCTTTGTAGATCTTTATAACATTGTATACATATATATATGTACCCAGAAGTCAAAAAGATCCCAAGAGCGCCAAAAGCTGCATGCAGGCTTTTTCCAAATGCGCTTTGATTGATGCTGGGGGTATCTTTTGGTCAGTTTCAAAATGCCCTGGGCTTCGCCAGGGGGACAAGGGTGTGTCAGGCAGTAGGATTCGCCCACTGCTGCCGAACACCCGAGTGTCCCCTGGTCCTCCCAGGGCCAATGGGCACCTGTCAAGGTGCCAGGGGACAGGGTCGGGAGGACAGCCCACCGGATCCGGTCACGGGATCTTGGGTGGGCACCTAAGAAAATCCAGTCGAAGACAAAAGTCTTGTGGCAAAAGGAAAAACAAAGAGGGTCTCCGGGGCCGGTAGCCGGCAATCTAAGGAGAACCCTTCAAAGTCCGGATGAATCAATTCATCAGCCCAGGTATTGTATTCCCTGGGGACGTGATTCGGGGCAATGCTACAGCCCTCACAATGAAGGAAAAGAACCAGTTCCATCAGCAGCGCAGCCGAGTAGGGTTTCTTGGCCGAGAGGTTGAGCAGGCTAAAGATGTTGCCCGAGTTGTCGCTGCCAACCGGGAGCCGAACTCGTCCCGGAAGCTGGCCCTGTTGGGCCACCAGGTGCTTGGAGAGAAGTAGGGTGCCCAGGAGTTCCAAAGCCGCTATGCGCTTCTTATTCTGTGGGTTGCCATCCTTGAATGCCCAAGGGTGTGCGTCCGCTGTAATGGCATAATGAAACCATAGGACAGTGTCCTTGGTGGGGTTCGGGGAGGCCGAGCACCAGCCCCCAACATAAGCTTCGCCAGTCCGCGATGCACTGGCGTCGCTGCATCCCCACCAAGGGGACTTCGGCAGGAAGGGTGAGTATTGTTCGAAGGGAGGCGTGAAGAGCTCCTTCAGCAAAGAGGCCAGCATACGGACCACCTTGGGTGGGTGGCCCATGGTCCTGACCGCCATCTTCCAGGCCCAGACAGGCTGGAGCATGGACTTGGTCAGGGGGCAGCACGCTGTTGCCCATTGGATCCGTCCCATGGCCTTTTCGATGGCCTTTGCTGACATAGGGGATCCATTGGCCAGTTCCTCCAATAGTTCCATGACCTTGATGTGCTTTGGAGCCGCGATCTGGACTCGGGGTATGGTCGGGTGGATCGCGAACCCGAGCCACGTATTGATTTCTGCCAAGTGAGTCTTCTTCCAGCTGAGAGGAGTACCCAATGCCACTAGGTACCCACTTTGTTCACCCACCATTCAACTG